TTACATGCCCAGTGATGGTGTTACATGTGACCCTTTCCCAATCACAACACTTGCCACCGCTCCTCCCCCCAGTGCTACCATCATCACCCCAAGCAGGGAGAAGGTCCACACCATATGAATCAATAAGTGAGCCTTTGATTTCGAGGAGTGCCTTTCTCTCCTCTTCTATACAAACACCTTGTGTTTGCCAAATCAAGAGACWACCTATCATCATCAATATCAMCAACCATGATTTATGCTTACTCACACRCAAACTCTCCWTTTTAGTTACTATGATGGCTTTTTAGACACTCACAAATAATGCTTACTTTCTCTTTCTGGTTTGGCTCTTAAATAGAAGAAATAATACACACAATGACAAACGCAACTTCCAAGACTTGGAAAATAAAACCATCCTTTACTTTCCAACAAACTTCCAAGTTTCCATTGTTTCAAAAATATACATGGCTCATTCAGTCAATGGTCATCGATTACAATCCAAAATACTTAGTTATTCTCTTTATAAAAAATTATATTATTAAACCTACATTAAATTATAATTAAAAAAAATTGAATTAAGGAAATTACACTAAAACACAAGAACTTTTAAAAAGATTAATTTGATATTGATATTGATATTGATATTGATATTGATATCGATATATGTTTTTTTCAAAATATTATGATATTTTCAAATTTATATTTTATTCAAAAATAAAAACGTTATCGTTTTCTCAAAACCACATAAAATCATATTATATCGACATAAAAAATGAATAAAACAAAACACTGAAATCAAGATGTATCTCGATACATTGCATGAGTACCCTCATAGTATTTAATTAATATATATCTCCAGTGTCCAAAAGTCCAATGGTGTCATTATCAATCCAGCCCGTATACGTTGGCCCGGGACTCAGGTATAGGCTTCAGGCCATTTTCAATCAAGTAGGGTGTAATTAMTATTCATATTTRTTGCATTTAATTTAATAATTAATAATAATTAATTGAARAAAAACACATTTTATCTTCAAAGTTTTGATGTTTTTGGTTTAATTTATAACAATTATAATTTATTTACATAATTGAAATCAACAATTAAATACACACGAATAGTAAGACATACCGACACGTTACGACAGTTGACGATACTGATGATCACATAAACCTGTAACCAACCACTGGACTCACAGTTGTTCTTAATATGAGYTATAGAAAACAAATTCATGTACTCCATCCGGATACAGACCTCTTGTTGTTCAAGACACCAGTAGACACACCCACACAAAGAACTCACGTATTTAAGGATAGAAAGTCTAACTCGGTAAGTGAAGGTGACGACTCTTACCCGGGTAACCGCTTACCATATTTATTGTTGCACACGATACCATTTTGATATACTACAATTTTCTCTAGATCATAAATTATAGTGTTGTTTCATAATAGTAAGCACTTACCGGGTAAACATTTAAGTAAACACATATTAAAAGTGATTAATTAATTTGTATCATTGTTAAAAAAATTGGATTGAATTAACACACTGGATGGATCCAATCCCATCGGATCATCCATTGGATAACCGATGGATATCCAATAAAAGAATCCAATGGATGGAACCGAACCGATYCCATCATTAATTGGATCGGATTGTGTGATAGCAGGTTTTTGTGTGATAATTCACAAAAAGTCAATTGATTGATAATCTAAGATGGTTTCGTTCACTGTAAATTGGTTAGGGTAAGATGAATAATAGAGTTATATGAATTTCTAATTGAGATACAAGCTACTAGTTTCACTTGGTATTTGGTTTGTGTTGAGCATGTCATAAGATTGGAATTCTTGCTATAGGTAATAATCTAGGCACATAAAAACCATTCCTAGTTATGATTTTCAAGGGTTAATTATGATGATGAATATATATATTTTACTGTTGTTTTTTGTTCAATTGTGCGCTTGGTGATCAAAAGTGTAAGAGCGAGGATGAAGTTGTGGTTGTCAATCAATGAAGTAGACTTCATGTTTCGTCTTTTCATTCTAATTCATAAATGGGGTTTTTGGTCCCCCACACTTCACCAAAATTCTTGGTCAATTCTATTTTTTATTTATTTAAGCAACAATTATTTTTTCCAACAAAATATCTAAAACATGATACAACTTTATATATCTATACTATATTATAAAGTATTTGATAAAATTAAATTTTTAAAAATAATTTTTTATGTATAAAGTATTGTTTATTTATACATATTAATTAAAATTTAAGATTACAAGTAAAATGTGCATGAATACATCATATTCAAGTTCTATATTTGAATTCGTGTAACTAACTGCAGATAAACATAATCAAATA